TTTTTTTTTTTCCTCCCCCAAAGACTGGTCTTGTTTGGACTGTTATCTCTAGCTTATGCTTGATTTCTCATTCATAATGAAATATAATCTTTTAGAGGGTTACATACAGATGGCTCGTTAAGATTTTTAGTTTTTGGATTTCAGCTTGTTTTAGAAGGTGTGCGTGCAAGACAACAGGAAAACACCCTGCTTATGGAAAACCATATGTTGGAGAAAACTGTGCAGCAGACCAATAAAACAGTTGATTTTCTCGATTTCAAAGCTGGTAGACTTGAAGATCAGGTAAAGATAGGCCCACATCACATAGTTTCAACACTCCATAAATGATTTTTACATATCAACATTTATTCTTCTTCTGCAGTTGAAAGCATACTCAGATCAGCTGCGTAGACTCAAAGATGATAAGTCCCACAATGCTGCTTTGGGAGAAAATACCCAAAGAAGACTTTCGGACGTGAGGAGATCTTGCCAGCAAGTGACGGTCACACAAGAAGAAGCTCAATCTCAGGTTGAAAAAAGTCGCGAATATCTGGCCGAGTTGCAGATAGAGCTCGAGAAAGAGAGGTTTTTTCTTGAAAATTTTATTTCGTGGAGTGTATTTTTTTTCTTTTATTTTGCATAAAGGTTTATTCACTTCTTGATTTTCATTTTTTTCTCGTGATTAGGTTTGCCAAGAAAAGGGTAGAGGAGGATATTGATGCTCTGAGGAGGAAGTTCGAACGAATGAAATCACATGCTGATGGTGCTTCCTTAGCTGAAAAGCTGAAGCTGGAGCTCACAGAATACGAGGAAATTCTTAAGTGCAGTGTTTGCCTCGACAGAAGAAAAGAGGTAATGTTCCATTTGAAGTGATCTAAGATGGCAATATATCAAATCTAGCATCATACTTAGAGCGTGTTCATATCCATACGCAATTCATACTCAAAATCTAACTCAACTTTAATTCAATTCTACCAACATCATAATTATCTATGTATTTAAACAATACTCCCTCATTTTCTTTTTATTTGTCAATTTTTTGGCTTTATTGATCATTAATCAAATAAATGTCGTTTTGGATCTTTTATACTCCCACATATTTTTATTACCTGTCGTTTTGAGAAGTAACACACTAATTAAGAATTTTTTTTCTTGCAATATTAACCCTATTTAATGGATGTTATGGGGCACAATGGAGATGGGATATGAAGAGACAATATGCATTAGATGGAGGGTTAAAAATGGAAAAATATGAACAAAATAGCCAAAACGACATTTATTTAATCAATGATCAATTAAGGATGACAAATAATAAAAATAGGAGGGAGTACATATTTTCCATTGTTACCTTCATTTAATTTGTACACTACACGTATTGGGAGGAAAGTTGTGGAAGACGATGAGTTTTCTCTCTTAAAAGAACATAAAAAAAAAACTGAAAAGAAAGAATAATAAATGTTAATTTGCTTAAATAAGGCTAATATTGAGGGAGAGCAGTGGTCTCGTGTTCGAGCCCTGGGAATGCAGCAGTGTTAAAACTCTTGAGGGAGAGCTTTGCCGCCCTTGTGGTCCTACCCGGCTCGATTCCGAATTAGTCGGTTTCCCATGTGGATCCGAAAACCGGAAGGTCCCTGTACCAAAAAATATTGACAAGAAAAATATTTCTTAATTTATGTTTTAAAAGCACATAACGACATTCTAAAAGAATAAGATGAAATATTGATTGATCATCCTTATACATCACATCAACTTTAATCCACCATTCATCCACTCACATAATTTTAACCGCCGATCACTTTCAATCATTATCTCCTACTTTTACATCAAATCAATTTTAATTATTTTTTTAAATATTATTTTAATACAATTTAATCAAATACTAACTTTATCAAAATTAATCCTAGTTAAAAAAAACCAATCAAATACCAATATATTTATAAACAATCACAGCCTTATTATTCTCGTAATGTTTATGATCTGCTTATTATTCTCGTAATGTTTATGATCTTCTACATAGATACTTGTATGCGAGTTACAAAATTTTTGAAACCGAAAAAACCTAACAAAATCCTTCTTGCAGGTGGTCATCACAAAATGCTACCATCTGTTTTGCAGCCCTTGTGTTCAGAAAATTGTCGACTCCCGTCATCGCAAGTGCCCAGTTTGCGCCTTGAGTTTCGGTACCAACGATGTCAAACCTGTATACATCTGAACAGAAGAATGTACTTATTCTTATCTATTCATAGGATGGTGTTTTCAGTTTTCACATGTACTATATATAATTTGTGCATCTGCTCGGTTTTGTAGAGACCCCTTGTCTGAAAATTTCAGATTAGATTGGTTTTTTTTTCCTGGTTCATTGTTTAGATACTGAAACTCTTATGATTTTCCTCTCCACTCCATCTGCAAGAAGCCGAGGCTTTGGGAGTGAATAAAAATTATAGGAATTTGATCTTAGGTTCATAATGCTTCCATGTACATAATGTGTACAAGCTTTGATTTGCCATTCAGTTTCCTACAGAAGTTTATGTATGCCCCCTGTTGTTATTGCATTATGCATTTCCTACCACACACACACATGATTATTGGTTGGTAAGATGTCAGCATACAGAATTTGGGGCCAATTTGGATTATGTGGTTATTTTGGGGTGGTTGTGTAATTATTCTTGTGATGGGGCACATCTAAGACTAAATGGTCCTAACACCATATAGGATTTCATTGTCTTCATAAATTCCATGAGCTTTGCTGTTCTCTTGCAAGTCTACTTCCAATGGGACTTGCTCAAATATTATTCCTAAAATCACCAACGGTCGACATTATGCGTTGGTTTTATAGGAAAGGACATAGAGAAAGAATTACTATAAATTCTTGAAATATATACGGTTATATTAATCAGACGATTTTTTTGGAACCAGAAGTTCTTACATTGCTAGCATGCGAGGCAACCACTCAACGACTACTAAATTACTATCATCGTGACCTAGTAGGTGCATGTTTTGGCCAAAAATTTCGACAAAGTACTAAATTAGGCTCATTTTACCTTAGAGGCGCGTTTTCTGGCCAAAAATTTCAAACACACATTAAAAATCGAAGCCTGAACAATACCTATTAGTAGGGACGAGCCGCTATCTGTCGTCTTGTTCCACCACATCGTACCGTACATTTAATGTTGCTCATTTTCAGTGATATATAACTTTTTTTTAAGTAATTACTTAGCTTTCATTGGCTGGTTGCTAAATAGTAGATAGGCTATGCAATTAATTCCAAAATATTTGGACCTACTTTGTACTGTGCCTTTATTTCTTGCAAAAAAAAAAAATAATAA